AACAAGAAGGAAAGCAATAAACAAGAAGAAAAAAAAATGGAGAGAAGTAAAAGGAAATATGAAAGAGGAAAGAAAGAAAAGTGGGAAAGAGAGGGGAAGAAATAAGGGACACAGTAAATGAAAGGTGACATAAAGACACAAAAAGAAAGAAACAATGAAAGAAATCGGGAGAAATACGCAATCAAGAATAAAAAGAAGGGAGACAGAAGAAAAAAGAAGGAAAGAAAGAAGGAATAAAGAAAACTTGAACGAAGAACAAAAGTTAAAGGGAAATAGGCAAGAAAATTATCGAAAGAGAGTGTGAGAGTGAAAATGAAAGAAAGAAAAAAGAGGATATATATATATATATATTCCACGGTGCGTCCAATTCGTGCCTCCAGTTTGAATTCCAGTCGAATCTATTACATTCACTTACGTGTTAATACTCTTGGGAAAGGTATGACTCCTCTTCCTCTTCCCCTAGCTATGGGTAAATAGCAGGACAGACTGGGTTCTACAGCCTTAGGTGGAAACTGGTCTAGGAGAAGAACAACTCTGAATTTTAAACCCGCGGCAGGTCGTTTAAGTACCTTGTGGCCCACTGCGCATCAGGTCTCAATATTCGTTTAAGTTTGGCATACAACATACACCACTATAATCAAATCATATGTGTAAGTTGTTATATATATATATATATATATATATATATATATATATGTGTGTGTGTGTGTGTGTGTGTGTACAACGATGACGTTGACAAGACGGCTTACCCTTTACTTGAATGAGCATAGTTCAGTCTCAGAACATTTAAAGAAACACTCATGTCCACATTCCCAGTTTAGACAGATATTAGTCGAAAATACATTAATTCTTCATCAAAATAATAATAAGCGAAAACTTAAAATTCTGGATGCCCTTTATATAAGAGAATTGCGGCCAAAAATAAATAAAACTGAAAGGAATAAAACTAAAATAAATAGACATAATACATATAAATTATTTAACCAAACCTGCTTGAATGAAAATAGGCCGTCTAAATATACATACATACATACATATATATATATGTGTGTGTGTGTGTGTGTGTGTGTGTGTGTGTGTGTGAGAGTGAGTTTGTGTATATATATATATATATATATATAGAGAGAGAGAGAGAGACAGAGAGAGAGGCGGACTGACACACAGACAGAGCCAGATAGAGGGAGATCACTGTTAGGGACCCACCGTTTATTTATATATATAGACAGCGTGGATATAGGAATCAGAAAGGCATGGTGACAGTTGTTTCACGCTTCTATGCGATTTTCTGACGAAGGCATTCATTGTTTATTCTTCTGTACACACACTACTTATCTATCTATGTTTTTGTGTGCGCGCGTATTTGTGCTGCACAATCCGACATCTGACACAATTGTAGGAATACCTCATAATACTCGAACGGCTTGAGAGATTGTTTTCCTTAGTATCGATCTATCACGGACAACGATGGTTACTCAGTTTGAATTTTCATCAACGACCCTACCGATCTCATCAGTTCTCAGCTCGGTATCTATGTTGAGGACCCAACTGATTATTCCTGTCTTAATAGTACGACTGATCAGTTCAATAGCGTAAAATTGGCAGCTGATTTCAAAATTGAACTACAATCTGTTGTTAACTGGAGCAAGAAATGTCTTGTTAATTTTAATAACCCCTAAAACGAAACTAGTCTTTTTTAGTTGTTTTACAGAACTTTTTTTGCCTCCCATTAGAAGAATGACTCACAACGGCTTCTCGGGATAACTTTTTTTTTCTGTTGACATGAAGTGCAAAGATTATATTGAATCCATTGCAAGGTCTTCTGCTACGAAATTTGGTTCACTGTATTGTGCCAGAATCTATCTTACATATTTATAAGCCTACCATTCGTCCATGCATAGAATATTGCTGCCACATCTCGTCTGGTGCTCTGCTATATATTTAGAGATTCTTGATAACACCCAAAGAAGCTTTCCTCTTTGGCACCTCGACTCAATGAATTTAAGGGCACTACTAGATTGACAGCTGAATCTCATCATTTTACAATTGAAATGGCGAGATATAACCGTAAGTTCTATGTTAACGTCTTCTTCTTTCATATTTCTCTCTTGTGGAACTCACTTCCGATTTCTTGCTTCCCAGTCAACTTCGATCTTCAAATATTTAAATCTAATATCAATCGTTATCTTCTCTCTTCTTAATAGTGTTGACATGGCAGATTCTTTCTTTGGATTTTATCAAGAATCTCTAAATGTATAGCAGGAGCACCAGACCAGATGTCACAGCAATAGCCAATGCATAGACGAACCGTAGGCTTATAAATGTGTCAGATAGATTTGGGCAATAAAAAATTTCTAATTAGACACAGTAAATGAAACTTTCCTAGCGGCAGACCTAGCAATTTCTTCAGTGTAACCAGATTTAAGACTTCATCGAAAAAAATTTCCCCTCGAAACTTGCGACATTTTACTTAAATGACATCGAACAATTGTCTGGTAAGCGACAGCAGGTCGTTGCAAATAACACTGAAAATTGAATCTTTTGAAGAGTAATGTTGATAAAGATAAACCGAAATTACTTACGACTCAGATTAATAACAGTTTGATGAAAGTAAGGAGATTTTTCTTTTCGTTTAAATTAATCTGATAAGAAATAGATCATTAAAACCTGTCAAATTTGCCAAAGGACAATCTTGCCGTTACTATCAGTAGCGGTAAAATATTTATTGTGTTGGTGGCGGGGGTTCCTCAAGTGTGTGCTCACAACACACTTCTTCAGCAGCCGTTAGTCTCGAATAGGACCTCCGACCTGTGGTTGACTGGGGCAGGAAATGGCTTGTAAACTTTAATGTCTTCAAAACGAAACTGTTCTCATTTACCCACCATAGAGAACCTTCCCTGCCTCTTCTCAGCATGGCTGATGCTCAAGTCCACGAGAGCGTCTCTCTACGCCTTCTTGATCTCAAGTTTTCCACTAACCTGAGGTGGAATAACTACATTGAATCAATAGCTTCATCTACCACAAGGAAAGTTGGTTCTCTGTGTCGCGCCAGAAGAGTCCATTCTTTAAATTTGCAAATCTACCATTCGTCCTTGCATTAAATACTGTTGCCATATATGGTCTGGTGCTCCCACTGTTCATCTCGAGGTACTCAACAAAATCCAAAGACGGATATGCAATGTGATAGGTCCTAATCTGGCATCTTGACTCCAGTCACTTTCTCACAGACGTGATGTGGCTTCCCTCTGTCCTTTCTACAAATATTTTCATGGCAACTGCTCTGACGAGATACTTTCACTGGTACCCCAACTGCATGAATTTAAACGCGCTACTAGGTTGGCATCTAGGTCCCACCCTTTCACTGTCCAAACAGTTAAATGTAACCGCCTCTTCTACGCTTCTCTCGCACTTCCCGACAGTGGAACTCCCTTCCTCTTACCTGTTTCCCTGATAGCTATAATCTTCAAAAATTTAAACATAATGTCAATCGACGTCTTCGGATGCCTTGATCCTGATCCCCGTCCTTCTCTATATCCTTTTCTCACACATCCCTCTTTACTCTTGCTCTCATTCTCTGTAACTCCTTGCGTGTTAGGGGCACTCCTGCCTTGCTTGGGGTGAAATGCTTTAAAAAAATAAATAAATAACATTATGGCATGTTAGCGATTAGTTATTTTGTCACAATATGAAAAAGCACATATTCAAAGTCATCCGAATTTTATAAATGTTTTTGTATGTGTCTTTTATTTACTTCTGAACTCACCGAACTGTAGTGCATCTTTTAGAAACTTGAAGAAAAATCCGAAAAGAGGAAAATACATTCAAATGGACTTGCAGAAAAGGAATTTCCGACTATTTTTAAACATTTCTCGTTCTTTTCTTTCACGGCAAAAGACGTGACAAATCGTTTTCTTGACGGGAATCCAAAAATGAAGAAAATGAGCGGATGTTCTACCTGCAGCACATTTTGATGAAATATTCAGACTTTCAATATTTTTCACACTAAAAAACGTTCGTTCTCGTTACCGGATACATCAATTTCAAAATCGAATAGGCTATTTTGCCGAATAGACACTAAGACTATTATGCAGGTAAATATAAATAGTATTTTAAAACTAAGAATATATATATATATATATATATATATATATATATATATATATATAATGTTTGTTTATTTTTATACTGATCATTTCTAGAACTCTAATGAGGAAGGCGTCGTAGTTTTTCCTTACCTAGGTGTTTTCGATCTCCTCTAATATCATCCTCAGAGGTGGTGAAATGCGAAAACTTATTGTAATTAATCGTTGGGATGGTGATTTTTAAAGACATGCTTGAACGCGCTCTGTTATAATTATTTTATATCCGTTTTAGCTATGGAATTTTTTTTTTTTAAACGAGCGTCCCAATATAAGGAAGTGTAACAGAGAATCGGGTCGGCCCTATAAAAGACTCCGAGTTGGTTGTAATGTGGTGCTGTAAGCACCAGGAGTTGCGTCCCCTTCCACAGTGGGCTGTTGACCAGACCTACTTAAAGTATGTGGCGCAGGCTATTTGCATGTGAATGATAATGAGTAGGTATTAGCCAATAGTCAGCTTGGGTCTGGGACTGGGAGAGCTATATAACAGTTTTTCTCAGTCGAGAGAGGCGCTCAGACCAGACCAGACCAGACCAGACCAGATGGACACAGGGAGTTAAGCAGAAATAGGCAAATGTCATTAAATGTTTGCTTAAAGCATTTCAACACGTTGCTGCTACACTCGTAATAAATTTTGTTGAGTGTTGGTCGGTTGATTTTGATGTAGGAGGCTTCGAGAATTTGAAATTTTTGCTTATTTTCATGTTGTAGTATATTGGTGTTGTCAACAAGTATTTCTTGTACTGTGAACGTGGACAGCGATGTGTTTTTAGATGTTATACAATAGAAATTGTAACCGACAAATGAAGTGTAATATATTCATCAAACGATAAAAATTTGGTTGAAAATGTGTCAATCCATCACGTTGAAATACCAGTTCCCGTACGATTATCGAAGTTAAGCAACGTCGAGCCTCGTCAGTACCTAGATAGATGACTATTTAGGAATACCAGGTGCTGTAAACTTCAATATGTGAGTGGTGTAATGGATAATGGCTCGAGATTGTTAATAGGAGAGCAGAGTTCCAATTCCAGTTGGGTTCGTTACATTCAGTTACGCGCAAATGTCCTTGGGAAAGGTATGAATATACCTCCTCTTCCCCCAGCTATGGGTTAATTAGTAAAACTTGTATCACGACCCCATTATGTCCCCACCCAAATTCTTGCAATCTAAAAATATTTTCTGGCTTTAAATAACCTGCAGAGGATTGATAAACCATAGAAAACGAATCAATCAATGAAATACTGATTACAGGAATGCATTTTAGATTTGCTTATATTCTCTGGAATATAAATATATAGAAACTTCCGTGGCCACAAATTGAGGGCTCAGTTTATATATTGATTGTAATATAGAATTGATCAACCACTTTATATCCACATTATAATATCTTGTAGGCATATCTTTTAAATTTATTTACAGTCTCTGGAATATAAATGTATGAAAACTACCGTGGTCACAAAGTGAGGGATCAGTTTATATATTGACTGTTATATAGAATTGATCCTCCATTTTATATCCACATTATAATTTTTATTCTGATTAGTTATGAATCCACCTCTTCTTCCTCCAGCTATGGGTTAAATAGTAAGACTTGTATTAGTAAACCACAATTATCTACCTCCCACCAAAAACAATTCCTCTAATCTAAAACTATTTTCAGCCTTTAAATAACCTGTAAAGGGTTGATAAGCCGTCAAAAGCGAATTAATCAATCAATCAATTCTAAAGATAAACGATGGCAGGAGTCAGGTATTTCCTGAGGCGATACAGTGAGCCGACCATTTTTCCAGAAGAAAACAGAATATTCAAATTCACAGACAGAAAAGGAAAATTCTTTGATGGTCAAATCATGACGATATATATATATATATATATATATATATATAGTTGAAAGGTAATATACAAAAAATGCTGGAGACTTTTGCATGAACTTAATAATTACTACAATTCATCAATGTTTTTGTTATCTTTCTTAAACACTGTTCTGTCAACTATTTACTCAAGCTCGCACGGTAGTTTTGTCCTGTAAGTATCATATTTTCTAAGCCTTTTTTCCTCTTTGTGTCCCAGGATTTTCAAATGTCGCTTCCTGGTGCAAAGTATAAGTGTCCTTTTGTTTTTGTTTTTTTTTCTCTAAAAATTCATCGATGCTCATATGTTCGGTTCATGGTATTCTCAGCATCCTTCTGTAGAACCACATTTCTGTTGCTTCAAGTCTCTTCATTATCCGTAAGGAAATTATCCAGTATTCCCTGTTATAGAGGAGGACTGATATTACGTAATAATTCGATACTCTTTTTTAATCATTCTGACGAAATTTTCCTGTTTCTTAATACTTCGCTTAGCTTTTGAAAAGCATCTTTCGCTATCCCAATGTGCCTTCGTGTTTCAGTGTCGCACTTCTTTTAAAAGACTTCCCAAATATTTAAATTGTTGTACTTTTTGATTTTGGCATCTCCAATTTGTAATTTACATTTTAGGCCGTTTCTTTTGCTAACAACCATGCACTGTCTTCTTTGAACTAATGTTTTATTCTTTCTTCTTGCTTTCCTTCAGTGCCTTCTGTAGTAGCTTTTGTAGTTCTTTTTCTGTGTCTGCTATCAAAACTGTGTCATCTGCATCTTATGTAGTTCAGTTTGCGATCGCCAATAATGAATCCTGGTAGGACTTCTAATTTTCTCAGAATCACCTCACTGTATAGGTTGAATAAGTCTGGTGAGAAGACACATCCTTGTCGTATGCACTTTTCCATTTTAGTATATTTACTGAATTCATTTTCTCTCCGTATGAAGGCGGTTTGCTGCCATTATAGGTTCTAGATTATTCTAATATCCTTCCTAAATATGCCGAGGTTAACGAGCATTTCCAATAGTAGTGTTAAATAAAGTTAAACATTTCAGCCAACGTCAATTTACGGTAGGCAGCCATTTTGTTATAACGTTTGCAACATAAAACAGCCTTGAGAAGATAAATGTCGGTGTGTAATGGAGGACATTTCTATACGTATTACAAAGATGAGTCTTTCCTTAAACGCTAGGTGCCATCTATTTAAGGAGTTCAACATGTTAAGGGTATTTGACGTCTTGGTTTCTTTTCTATAATATTTACTTTTGGGCGATGCCTGTATTAAAGATGAAGTTCGTAGCCACTTGATTGTGCGTCATCCCCTTCCCCTTCCGGTAACTTACGCGTTGTCGAAATGACAGACGACTGATTAGAAAATAAATTGTTGAAGTTGAAAGAGAGAAATGTAAAAGAAAGAAATATAAGAGGAAGAAAGAGAAAATAAAACGAGAGAAAGAAAAAAGAAAGAAATAAAAAAGCAAAGATAGAAATGTAAAATAAGAGGAAATAAAAGAAAGAAACGTAAGAAAAAAAAAAGAAAGAACAGTAAGAGAAAGAAAAAATACAAAAAAGAAAAAATGCGAGAAGGGAAAATAGAAAAAAAAATTGTAAAAGAAAGAAAGAAAAAAGAAAAGAAAAAGTGTAAAGGATTTTAAAAGAAAGAAAGAAACGCCTAGATGATTACGAAACTTACAAAGAAAGAAAGAAAAGAAAGATCTAACGAAATAAATAAAAGAAAAAACAGGAGAAAAAAAAAAAAAGAAAGGTCTTTAAGGAAAAAAGTACAAATAGTAAAATAAGAGAGCTTAAAGAAAGAAAGAAAGAAAGAAAGAAAAGAAAGAAAGAAAGAAAGAAAGAAAGAAAAGAAAAGAAAAGAAAAGAAAATGTGTAAGGAATTGTAAAAGAATAAAACGAAGAAAGAAAAAAAAGAAAAACTAATGTATTCGAAAGAAAAACAAACAAAGACGTAGTAAAATGTTACTGAAAAAGGACAAAGAAAGGAAGTAAGTGTAAAAGGGAAAAAGACAAGAATACCGAAGAAGAAGAAAAAAGAAGAATCTAAAAAAGAAAAAAATTACTTTTCTAATATTTACAATGATTGAAATTAAAGCTTAAAACAAGCGAATAAATACAACAAAAACTAACTATAAAAAAGAAACACAGTTAATGGCTTCGTATGAAGAGAAATCAGTGTCGTTTTATAACTCCACCTACGCATTGTGTAGAATGTCAAATGAAGGCTGTATAAAACAAAACCGGTCACTTCGACGGAAGATATAGAGCCAACGAGGCATATAACATATTCAGGTGACAGACCTCGAATACTTTTGGTCCTAAGGACTTGGGATAAAAACAAACAAGTTTTGGAAAAACACAGCTACATATTAAAACAACCTGAGACACCAGATAAAAAAAGGAAAATGTATCCAAACATCAGGCGTATTTATTTTTCGATGGAATTGTTTGCTGTTCTGGTAAGTAAACCTGTATTTATTCCGGTCTCTAGAATGAAGAAAGGAAAGAAAGTAAACAAAAGAAATCTGAAAACAATTTGGGATTTTTCAAGTTTATATCACGTCTTTTTGTTTAGTTTTTGGAAAGCATCTTTGGCTATTCCGATCCTCCTTCGGATTTCGGTGTCACGATTTTTTTTGTCGTCTATTAAAACAATTCCTAGTTTTATACCATATAAGCGTTCACACATCATGCTGAACATTTACGTAATATCGGTCCTCCCATATGGCAGTGAATGCTGGACAATCATATCACAGAAAGAGACTTGAAACAACAGAAATGTGGTTCTACAGAAGGATGGTGAGAATACTATGAACTGAACAAGTGAGCAACAACAAAATTTTAGAGAAAATGGAAACAAAAAGGACACTTATACTTAGAATCAAAAAGAGACAGCTGAAATTTCTAGGGCACATAGGAAAGAGGGTTTAGAAAATTTGACACTCAAAGGACATATTGAGAGAAAGAAGTGCAGAGGTGCATAACCCCTGCCTAATCAGCTTGTGTAAATGGTTGGCGAAACAAAAAAGAACGTATAGTACAATAAGAGAGCTTAAAGAAAGAAAGAAAAAAAATAAAGAAAAGGTGTAAGGAATTTTAAAAGAAAAGAAAAGAAAACATGTACGGAATTTTAAAAGAAAGAAAGAAAGAAAAAAAAGGTGTAAGTAATTTTAAAACAAAAAGAAAAGGTGTAAGGAATTTTAAAAGAAAGAAGGAAAGAAAGTAAGAAAGAAAATAGAAAGAAAGAAAGAAAGAAAGAAAGAAAGAAAGAAAGAAAGAAAGAAAGAAAGAAAGAAAAGGTGTAAGGAATTTTAAAACAAAAAGAAAACGTGTAAAGAATTTTTAAAAAAAGAAAGAAAGAAAAGAAAAAGTGTAAGGAATTGTAGAAGAAAGAAAGAAAGAAAGAAAGCAATTATTAGGAGCTACAAAAGACAGGAAGTTGTGGAGAGCCATGATCACCAACGTCTCCAAAGAACACGACAATTTTTCACACAGAAGTTCGATTGTCATTAAATGTTGCATACTCGTGGTCTTTCCCCGAAGTTCTTTTATCTGCCGTATCAATTCCGACCATGGCTCTCTACAACTTCCTATCCTTCGCATCCCGATGTAATATGTGTCCTTTTACTCCCAATTCCAGCCTCTGTTTGACTCTCCATTTCCAGAATCTCGCTAGTTAGGTTTATTCCTGTTTCTATCTACCCTTCTTGCTTTCGTGCATATTTGATTGTCAAATTTCCCCGCGCCCTTTTTAACTCAAGATGCAACCCCAAAATGTCTGATGATTCTCAATTTCCTTTGTTTGCATTTTCCTTTAAACTTTCAAACTACTGACATGTTCTGTCTATGGCATTTTCGCCTACGCTCAAATCACACTGAAGACGCCGGTTCTCGTTCGATCACCGAAGTTAAGCAACGTCAAGACTGGTCAATACTTATATTGGGAACACCGAGTACTGTAAACAACCTCCTAAAACACAAAATATGCTTCCATTTCAAATAACCCCCAGAGGGTTGATAAGCCGAAAAAAATTCCCAGCATCCTTCTGCAGATCCACATTTCTGTTACATCGTCTCATTTTCATCTGCGAGGAAATTG